TGGGGATTTTGCTACAAATTCAGACATTCGGAACACCATAAAATTGGGGGGCAGGGGGATTTTCATTTTAAAAATTAGATTTTTGGACGACCTAAATCCATGACTTTTCATGATTTTTTTTTGAAAAAATAGTTAAAATCATGACAAATTTTGTTCAATACCAAAATTCATGACTTTCCAGGTGAGCAGATACCCTGTATACATAAAAAGTACAGATGTGTACTTGTACAACTTTAAGTGTCTGAAATTGTTATCTAGGCATGTATTTTATTTGTATTTTCTCACGCTGATTCAAAGGATATCTCAACCAGATTAATAAATTCCATAATTCAGAAGCTTTGAGAGTTTGAAAGGCATTCAATTCTTTTTTATTTAAACCTGTTTTCGCGCCTGATATTTAGTTACATAAACAACAAAGGCATTTTTTTTATACAGATATTGACGCCAAATCCAATGATCGTTGGTTGTCAAATTGTTCAAGATTGAAAAATTTAATTCAACGATCTTATTGTCTGAACCAGCAATCGGAAAAACTACAATATATTTGTAGTTTACTGCAAACTACAACGACTTTTTTACAAATGTAGTTAATTACAACTACTTATTTTTAAATGTAGTAACTACTTTAAGGAGATGAACTTTTCTGGAGAACTTAATTTACATCTGTGTTCAAAATGTTTTTGAATTAAAAAAAAAAATTGGTTTACATTCAGGGAAGAATTAAGAAATATCATGTTTACACGAGACAGTTTGTAGTTCCAAAATATTTCTTTCGAATTTGTGCATTTAACCTTCAACTCTTTATGCCTTTTTCGTCAGCGAGTATTTAATTTAAGAAATCAAATACCAGCAATCTTTTATTTGTTTGATACTCTTTTATTTCCTCTAAGAAATTAATCTACATTTAAAATACTTTCGATTCCATTTAAATAACATGAACGTTTCACGAGTGAGCATTCGCATGTGAAAGTACGACCAAAGTCATTAATTATCTATTTTTCGTAATGGCTAGTTTAAATATTAGTTACACGTGATTTTAAAAACGTTGTTGTTGTTACTTATTCCACTTGGCACAGAACAAGGCTAGACCAGAAGACCGTTCATTGACAGAAAATCATTATACCATCGCCGGACCCTCCAAGATAAAATTCATCTCTGGACAGCAAATGATCAGGAGAGCATCTCTACAGGACAGCAAATGGTCAGGTGTAGCCTGGTGCACATTACATTTTAGGCATACAGGGAAAGTGTTTTGACACTGAACAAATGTTAGTCCGTGGGTATGACCACTGATTAGTCTTGTGATAGCTGTCTGCAGTTTCCTATCACTTTTTAGCTCCAGGACTATTCTGTTGATACCAATCATGACTAGGTGGAATCCTCCGAATCCTGTTATTGTCGGCCTTTACTTTTACGTAGACATTGTATGTTAGAAGGCCACTGCTATCTATGGGATTATTAAAGCCCTCCTTGGCCAGTACATCGACCAGATCATTAAAGTAAAGGTTTACGTGGGAGGGGATACTCTGTAGGTGCATGTCATCGTGAGAAGAGTAAGTCTTCAAATTGTTAATGATATTCATGCCAATTCTGTCACCGATGTTTCGCCAATTGCTCAACGTAATTTCTGTTAACGCTCAGCTGCAGCCACAGGTTCATTTTCATTGCATCCATTGACGGTCCTGCGAAAATGTGTATCCATCCATTTCGAAAAATTAGTGGCGTTAGAACAACGTTTCTTTTCTAAACTAGCTTTAAAAGTAATTGTCGGGAATCGCTACAAACTACTATTTTTTTCATCCCACTATTTACTACAGTACTTTTTTTTAAAAAAAAGTAGCACATGACACTACAAAAAAATATAGCTGCTACAGTCAGTGTTTTGTAGTGCGTTACTTCCGACCACTAAGCGTATTAAAATTTGCGAAAAATGAATATTAATAATTTATTTTAAATTTTAATGATCTTCATCTTGGTGGAAAAGTTTCGCCAAATTTGAGATTTTTTAAAACAGATACATATATTATTTTTGTTAAATAAAGCTCTTTGTCCCTTCCAAAACCAAGATATTTCTTTACGACAAGATTGTATACATAGTTTAAAATTGTAATTTTGCTTCAAGTTGAGGGCACTTAAACTGAAATTACAGTACTGGTTTTTAAATTTAATAACCACTTTGAACAGCCGACCCAATTTTTTGGGGTTTAGTTCAACTCCGTAGCCTTGTCATTTTGAACCCAATCCAGAAGACAAGGAAATTCCTGGATATTGGGAGAAATTTGCCCTCGTGGAGGATTTCTTGATGGAACTAACCCGTATTTGCGTCACATGGTGAGGAAGATCACGAGATCCTCCCATGGTTAGCCTGACAGCAAGGAGACTCTAACCCATAATCTGTCTACCACTGAGGATATTTTACGTCAGCACTGTGGTCGGTGCAAGCCGAATGAGGAATTCGTATCGATAGCCATCGCTGGGATTTGAACCCGGTTTACCTCATTGGAAGGAGAAACGCTATATCCCCTGAGATAAAACACGAAACTAGAACTGTTACACAACTCTATTTTAGAGAGAAAAACAGCGTTATTAAACTTAACAGCGTTTTATTATTTTAAACATAACAAAGCAAAACAAAGAAGAACATTATACCAAAGAACACAAACTGAAACTAAACAGTGGCTATATCGAAACTAGATCACTGTTTATTTTATTATCGTTTTCAACGAAATGATCTAGTTCATCGCTTTCAACACCCTGAGCCATCACAGCTCTCTATACTGTTTTGTCTTCAAAAGCATATTGTCCAGTCTTTATGTTTAAAAATGTATTATTATTTTTGTTGTTGGTATGTTTATGGATGGTTAACTGTGTAAATCTAAGCACAGATGGCGCTAGGGGTTAAAATTCGTCTTAAGATTTCCGGGTTACTATTTCCGACTGATTTTTACACCAAAGCTTGAAAAAACGTACCATCCAATATTATTAATACTTCTAGTGTTTTCAATATAACACGTTCTTTAAATCTAACTTTCAACGAAACAAACAATAAATGAAAACTCCGCAAGCTTAAGGTTGTATCATCAAAATATAACAAACGATGCTATTTTACACAAATATGGCCATATAAGGGTTAACATTCAAAACATGGCTAACCTTACACTTTATTTATGGTTCGATATTAATTTTGTTTTTTAGACCCACTACCTGTTAGAATAAATAAATTACAGCAAACTCTTATGAATGGTAAAATTACGCGTAAATTTAAACCCAAATCACAATAATAAAACTTCCTAGAATATTAGGCCTGTTCACACATCACCTCGTAAGTATAACATAAGCGGAGAGATACACCGGAAGTTTTCTAAATTTATTCCGGTTTTAAGAAGCCTGTTATTGTTTACATTCAGTCAACCCTCTATATAGTTTGTCTAAAGTAAGAACTCCCCCAGCCATCCGTCTGAACCCGGAGCGGTGACTATGGTAACGAGGTATAACTATTTAAAGTAGGGGTGTGGGGTAAATGTTAGGCACAAGTTTTAGCTCGGGTTGGCTAGAGAAAGGTAATTTTTTTTCTCCGGTCTATTGTATTAGAGTGAAGAGAAGCTACCCTCCCTGAAATGCGCCATTCTTGTTTCCATAGCAGCAGACGGTCTCAGACTTTGTGGAGGACGGATTTCTTACCGTAGACAAACTAGAGTTCTTTTTTTCAGTTAAAAGTGTAGGGCTCAGCGAATTGAAACATTTCTTACAGCTGCTAACCTACAGTCCCTATCCATATTATTAGACGCACTATAAGATTCTATGCAAAATTATAATTTGCAGGTGATACTATACAGCCGTATCGTTTTTACTCGGATGAAACCGGTTTGCACTTGTTTACGCTCCTGTATCAATCGGTTAACATTGTCATGCAATACGTTAAAAATAAATACAAATAGGAAGCATATAAAAAAGCTTCCGAATAAGAACCCATTACATGTATATTTAAATATAAAAGCATTGCCTATAAACTTGTGCAAAGCAAGTCATTATTAAAAAACTACAGTGCGTCTATTAATTTTGTCTAATTATTATAATATACAAATATAATACCTGATATAATAAATATTCCATATATATATAATATATAGTCTAATGTATCCTATCGTGAAATTTATATTATATATCGTCTCATTTAACTCATTGATACACGAACGTAAACAAGTGCAAACAGCCACATAAAAACAATAAAGCTGTATAGTATCACCTGATAATTAAGATATTACATAGAATCTGAGAGTGCTTCTAATGATATGGCCAGGGANTTGTTTGCATTTCAAAGGAAAACTCGATAAAATTAACGATTTTTATCAGTAGCAATTAAACTTATGAACGCGTGCGGTAATGTATGTTTTAAATTTCTACTATAATAAATGCAGCTATCATTTTATACATACATTTAGCTTTTTTTAGTTGAAAATGTATGTAGCATGATAGTGATAATGTTTTACTCTATTCTTGCTTTTCATGCAGATTTCTTTTATGGTTAAGATTTCTGAGAGAATAAATGATAGATACTAGTTTACTAGATAAAGGTGTATTAATTACCATTTTAATCATGTCTAGTGTTTATGAATTTAAAACCTGTTTTGCGCCGTTTAAGTATCTCAAAAGGTGATTTTCTATTAAACGAATTTTCCATATAACGAACTTATTATCGGGATTTATCGACTTCGTTAAATAGAAGTCCGACTGTATATATATATATATATATATATATAGTCTAATGTATCCTATCGTCAAATTTATATGATATATCGTCTCATTAACTCATTGATACAGTAACGTAAACAAGTGGAAACAGTCACATAAAAACAATAAAGCTGTATAGAGCATCACCTGATAATTAAGATTTTACATAGAATCTGAGAGTGCTTCTAATGATATGGCCAGGGACTGTAGTTGCAAAAACTAAATCCTATTTTACTCTTGAATTAAGAATACTTTCTAATGAATTTCAGGCGTGTATGCTCCCCTCTGCCTTGCACCTAGAATTTGTCGACCAGTCAATCGATGCTGTTTCCCAAGGGACGGAGAATGCCCGGCTGGAAAAGTATGTTGCCAGATGTGGAGGCTCAATCATCAAATGAATTGAATCCAAACGGCAAATGAATTTCGATCACTGTTAAGAAAATCCAATAAAAAAAAGGAAGATTTTATTTATTTCAAATGGTTTTTTCTTTTAATTTGAATCCCATTATCGTCACTATATGAATTAATCCGATTATGGCCTTTTCTTTTCATTAAAATCCGGTGACATAAAAAAAAATTTTTTTTTCTTTAATAGTTGAAAACAAAGAACGTTTGAAAAATTTCGAATGCTCCAAAACAAACATGTCAACCTTTCATCATTCATGTGAGGTTATTCCAAGAAGACGCCTCTCGTCATGATGACCACACATAAATGATAATACAATCAAACCCCGCTAACCTGCACCTGCAATCCTTAACATCAGATATGGATACACTTGCCGACTCTCCGATAATTTTTCCTGAATTTATGTTATTCCTCTTTTTAAATCTGTCAAATCAGCCACTGGAGCACATAAAATTAGTCTCACCCAATCGCTTAACAAATTTATCGGCTTTGACTTGAAGCATTTGTCCAGATATTGGAAGATCGCGACTTCTTTGAATGCTGAACCCATTCAACAATGCTATTCAATAATGAAGCAAACAAGAAAAAATGATTATTGCTACATTTCCTGCTACAGATCAGTGGTTTCCAACTGGCGGCCCGGGGGCTGCAGCCGGCCCGCGAACTAAAATATATTAGTTGTCATTTTTTTGCGGACGATTTCTGGAAAAAATCTATATGGGTTTAAAATACTTTTCTCGTAAATAAAAACCTAATTTCTTCGTTTCTGTAAAATTTATCAAACCAACGGTGCAAAAAAAATTATTTCTCAGGTTTTGCATCCAAGAAAATATTTATTCAAATACAAAAATAATCGTGTATGTTGCTCTTTTTTATTTCATTTTTTGTATTTTGTGAATATAATTTAGCATGTGTGTATCAGAAATTTTCTCGAAGAAATTCTCCGATTTAACTTTTTGAAACCCCTCAGTTTGGACGAAAATATTTACGCACACATTTGTAAATTTTAAATGTAAATATTTATTCTCTGGTGGTTGTCATTGTCATAACTCAATTTTGTATAAAGAAAAAATTTTTGTGTGCTACTATGTAAGTTTTAATACCAACCTTTTAAAAGTTTTACATCTTAACAATTAGACATTTGTTGCACATTAATTTTGACATGGTTCACATTAAAGTTATTGTACATGGTACATGGTATTGATACATGGGTGCACATTAAAGTTATTGTAGCCCGAATTTTTTAATATGCAATTAAATATTTTTAAAAATCTACTTCTTATTTTAATTAGTAATTCAATACTTTTGTTTTGTACANGAAGATGGCGACTTCTTTGAATGCTGAACCCATTCAACAATGCTATTCAATACAACAAGAAAAAATGCAAACAAGAAAAAATGTTTATTGCTACATTTCATGCTAGAGATGGTAATTTAAAAATCGGTATATGTATTTATTTTGAAGCAGAAATTTCAAATTTATTGCAAAAAAATGAAGAAAATCAGTCGAAGACAGAAAAAAGTTCCTAATATCCAACTTCCTCTCTTTTTTTGGTTTACTATATCCACAAAAATAAGTGTAGCAACGCACGGGAACGAACATTTCGTTCACTATAAACCGTGTTCACTATAGCGAGGTTTGACTGTAATAGAAACAGGTTCGTAACATGGGAATACAGTTGCCAACGGAAAAAATTTGGAAAGGTAGCAATCGCAAAACAATCTAAAAAAAAAAGTTTTGTTTGAGCGCTAGCAACTACTCAATGTTCACTTGACTGCTTTAAAATAAAACTAAAACACCTTGTTAAGATTTCATACTGATAAAATTGAAAGAATATTAGAAGCGGGAAAAAAATACTGGGAAAGTAAACAGCTGAAATAAACGCTATGATGGTTGTTCTGATGTTAATGGTATTTATCAAATGATACGATTGTTAAAAAAGTAAATTAACTTGTTAAAATGGATTATTCTGTCACAAAATTGCACCGTTTCTTATAAACTCCTCAGAAATATTCTGATGTTTAGATCTCACACTATCTTAGTTGCAATCTGAAAAACAGGGCAATTGATTTATTGATTAAGTCAATTCATTTAATGTAATTTTTATTACCCATTGGCAAAATGGGTCTTGTTTTGGATTTGATGGCGTTCACGCTTTTCAACTGTGTTCGAGAGTAATAGTAAACATGCTTGGCTATGGCTGCTTTTATTTTTATTTTCACTAGCAGGCATTTTTAATGTATTTACATCATAATAATATAAAGTATTTTTATATTCTTTTTATTATTAACGTATAATCACTGTCTTGACGGTGATTTCAATATAAATATGAATACTGAAGAAGGAACAGTATTTTGTGAAACACGCAGAATATGAAAAGTCAATCCGACGACAAACATCCATGGAGACAGTTTTTGCAACCCATGATTTGAAATGTTTAACGGAGTCAATCCAGAAAAGAAAAAGCATTTGATCAATGGGTAACCAGTGATCGTAATAAGACGATCACAACTTTTTTCTTATTATTTCATTTTTTTTCTCGTTTGAATCCTATTTTTATCGTTTAGATTCAAAAAAATTTTCAAGTAATTATAGAAACTGAGAACAGTCTTGTGAGAAATAATACAAGAAACGAATGAAATAAAAATAAAAATATGACCACCGAAGTCGACGTCTTCAGGGGATACCGGCCTCGGTAGCCTTTAAAAACAAAACTATTTCTAATTGAGGGAGAAGCAAATGCTTAAAATATCTCCCTAAGTACCCCGATGGTTTTGTATAGAGGTCCAGGAAAAACAAGATACATTCAAAATAATTAACAAATTAAGAAAAGAAGCTCAATCAAAATCATCAGAAAAATAAAAACTCACTAAGTCACAGGTCAAGCATCAACTTCAAAAGCAAGTAGAAGAAAAGAAAACACTAAAAACTGAAAAACCAACGCCCCCTATTATAATGCGCAGAAGAAGTTTAAAATGAAATGGAAAAGGTCAGGAGAAAGAAATACGTAGACAAATTAATAGAATGCTTAACTGGGGCTGCTCAGTTAAGACTAGAATTGCGCCCTGTTAAAAGAAAAAATTATATAAAAACTTAGAAA